TGCTCGTTCGGTTACCCCACCAGACTCGTGCAACGCGACATAGACAGCGATGTTCGAACAACGACAATCTATTTTTATCCTGTTCCCTTAGTGGCCAAGTCTCTGCACCGTAGAGCTAGTGAATGAGTTCGAATTTGATCTTACTATTCAGGTGAAATACCGTAAGCAATCGTATTTGATTCAAAGGAATCGGTTTTATTCAAGTTAAACTCGGCCTCAACAGAAGTCGGGTTATTGAGGGCTTAGACTGACTCCACTCATACACTGAATCATGCTCATATTCACGTCTGGACATGGTAACCGACTTATCGATCCATCTTGACGTGATTCGCTTCCTTACCGGACCGACAGAGATCTATTAACTCCGGGTTCTTTAATTTATGACGCACACTCGATCAACGATCACGAACATAACGTTCCCGGGTGTGGTGGGGGGGGGCCCATCTCAATCCCTCCTTCCTGAAACATTCATGCTCACTCAAAAAGTACTTTTGTTTGTTTATGGAAAAGTTAGTTCTTTCGACCTGGAGGGAGTTTGGACAGCCTCGGTCCAATCGGTGACATTTGACGGCCGAAACACCAATTAGCTTGAGGGATTCCTAAAGGAGTGCGATTGGTTGGAATCACTTGAAGTTACAACGGATTCACTTAAAGTTTAAAAGGTATAGATGGTCGGGAACCAGATGAAGTTTATTGCTCCTCGTGCTTGGACATCTGTGCGACCAACGACAGTAGCGCAGCGAAGATCACTGCACGGTTCGAGCAGCGTACGCAGAATTTAAGCACCTTTGGCGACGACGTAACGTATCACTACCGTTGAGAAGTTGCGTACATTGTGCCACCGTTCGGTCAGTGTGGCTTTGCGGCCATGAAACCCAAAGTCTACAAGCTGATTACACAAAAAATATCAGTGCACGGTGAAACAAAATCTTTGCTATTCCAGCTATCTATTTTCATTGTAACTGTTCAACCTTCATTTCACTCGGTTCTGNCGGTTCTGTATCCCAATCCACCCATCCCGATACTGTCATTCGTTTGTTCGAATAGCCGAGGCCGAGTTCGAGCTTACGGCACTTTTTCACCCGAGTTCACCTCGGAAAGTGGTGTTCGACAGGGTTGCACTCTCTCTCCTTTTCCATGTAACTTTGTTATAGATTTAATTCTTGAAACAGCCCTATCCTCGTGCAGGGATAGCGGTAGCGATTTACTTCCGGGTGGCAGGCTGTCTGATCTAGAGTATGCAGACGACATTGTGCTACTAAGTGAAGATCCAGGTAGGTTGCAAGCTTTTCTGGATAATTTGAGTGCTAGTGTTGCCATGTTCGGTATGCGTTTTGCACCTTCAAATTGTAAAAAGCCACTACAAGATT